GCCCAGCCCGCCCACCCCCCCCACTTCCAGCTGCAGTTTCCATCCCAGGGCCAGATCAAACCCCCCACTCCCACCCACGCTCTCCACCTAACCGCGGAGCAGCAGAGGAGCTTTCCGATGGTCCCGAGCCAATTCCAACCCCTCCCGGCCATCCCCAACCCCGCTCCTCAGCAGAAGCAAATACTGGACAGGTTCCAGCAGGTAAATAAGTGCCGTCGAGGGTCTCACGCCGGGCGTAGGTCAGGAGGGAGGTAGCGTGGCAAAGCGCGGCCGCGAGCCTCCCGCCGACAGGGAGCGGAGGGATTAAAGGCAAAATTGGAAGCAAAACCCGTCTGGTTCCTCCCGGGCGGGTCCCGGGGGCTTCTGCCGTGGAGCTGAACCGGGCGCCGCTTCCTCGGTGCAGCCCCCTTGCTCTTTGCGGGGTTTTGGGGTGCCGAGCGGGTTCGTGCCGTGGGTTACGTCTGGCTCTGCCGCCTGCCGTCACGGGAACGCACGTGCATACCTTAACGCGTAGCGCTTGTAGGAGAGGCGTCTTCCGCGGATGCGATTTACGTGTTGGTTTGTCAAGAAGATGAGGAGGAGGCGTTGGCGACAACAGAACTAGAAGCGTCCCCGTTTTCCCGTGACAAGCATCCCCCGAGAGCTGTCCTGTCCGGGCAGGGCTCGCATCCTGCCCGCGTTTGTGATTTGGGGGGTGCGGGTATCCCCGGAGGATGCTCAGGGACCAGGCCGGCCCTCGTTAGCGGTGCCTCGCTGATGGAGGGAGGGTCAGGGATTTCTCGGCGAATTACCTGAAAAAAACAGGCTTCTCAAATGAAGCTGCAGTTATTTATTTTCTATTCCCTCGCGGGGGGAGAGGAACAGGGGGTGAAAAGGGCAGCGCTTGAGCTTGGTTTGAGTGAACCGCGTATTCACTTCAAGCAGACTCCCCCACAAGGACCCGATTTGCTTTTTTCCAGCACGCTGTCCTGTGGCTTAGCCCCTGGGCGCCAGCGGAGCTGGACGGGGGGAGCTCGGTTCGCCTTTTCCTGCTTCTCTGGCGTCCGTCTCCCAGCGCCGAGGCTGGGGGGAGCGACGGGGCCAGCGCGGCAAACGGCCCCTTCCCTCCTCGTGCGTTCGTGCCGAATCGCCGGCGCTCGCCGATTAAAAAGCGATGGGTTTAGGGCACGTTTTCACCTTCTGGGTTGTGGGGTTTTTTTTTTGTTCTCCCGCACAGGTGCCCCAGGGGATCATCCTGCAAGCGAAGCAGCAGCCTCCCACCAGCCAGGCTTCCCCCGCGCTCAGCCAGTTCAGCAGCCCGTCCTCCTCCGTCCTGGTGAGCGGCCAGGGGCAGCCGGTGGCGGTGACGACGACGCCAGCCGCCGCGCACAGCCACGCGCCCGCCGCCCTCCCGCCTTCCACCGCAGGTTCGTGCCGCTGGCTCCAACTCTCGGGCAGGGGAAAAAACCCAGGAGGGCGTCCCGGACCACGAGCATCGCATCGCCCGTGGTTTGGGAGAGCCAAGCTGCTGGAGCCGTGCTTGGCGTGCAAGAAAAGGGCGGTGGGGTGAAAGCTGTCGGCGCAGGGAGCCGGGGTCGGGGCGATCGAACTCTGCTGCTCGTTGGCGCTTGGTTTTTCCGATAAAGCTCGGTCTTTCGGGATGAAACGCGCTGGGGGAATCCAGGACGACGTTATTTATTATCTAGGCTTGGACTTAAACACGAAACCCCCGCCTGTTTTACGTTTGCTAGGCATTACCGCCCCGGTTCCTGCAGAGAGCAAAGCCTTCTCCAGCGTTTCCACGCCGATCTCTGCTGGGAAGGCGGCCGCAGCCCAGGGGAAGCCAGGAACGCCTCTCGCCATACAGCAGCCGGTTCAGGTGAGGAAGCGTTCTTCATGTTTTCCATCTTAGTCCAAGGTTTTCCACCTTGAGGGTACACGAATCTGTCAGCGTTCCCCTCCGTTTTATCAAAAAGGAAGAATTACTTTCCGGAAACTACTTTCTTCCGCTTGTAAAGCCCTAAACGTGATACGAAATTAACCATTCCCGCCGACGTTAATGAGACCTTTGGGGAGGGGGGCTGCTGTGTTCCTCCTCTTTAAGAGAATCGGTTGCTTACCGATGATTTAACGGGGTGTCGGGACCGCCGAGGTAAATTTCTGGAAGTACAAATCAGAATAACTCTGTTTTTATGGACAAATGCATCTTAGACTTGGGCGTTTACACCTGAGCAGCGAGGAAGCCGCCTGCGAGCTCTTTCGCCAACGACCGACGTTGTCTTGGCAGGCAGTTTCTCACTGCGTGTTTTGGCAGTTGTTACTTGGTGAAATCACTCCGGGATTCTAAATAAAGCGATTTCTTTTCGTTCCTTCCGCAGACTAAGCCTGGCGTGATCAGTTCTGTCTCAGGCCTGAACCTGGGGAAAGGTCCCTTGCAGATCCAGGTCGTGGGGAAAGGATTATCGCAGCTCGTGCCCTCGGTCCCCGTGCAAAGCCAGCAGCTGGTGAGCTTGCACCGGCGCGCGCGGGGGGTTTTAGAGGCAGAGCCTGCGGAGAGCTCTGCCGCGGGAGGAGCGTGCCGGGACGGCGCGGTGCGCCTCGCGAGGACTGCCGACCGTCAGGTTTTGTCGGTGGAAGAAATGAGGTTTATTCGCGGGTTGTTTGCGCGTCCCATTCGCGCGGGCGCTCTGAATATACCAAAATACAAGTACACCCAGTTGATCCGGGTTTGGTGTATTTATGGGTACGTTTGGTACGTATATACCGATTTGTACAGTGCGTATAAACGTAAGCATGCTCTGAATACACCAGAAGCCGTTTTGTCCAGGAGAGCGGAAGCCTTCCTCCATAGTTAAAATCTGCGGGAATCCGCACTTCTCCTTCTCCCCTTCCCCCGAATTCGAAGCCCGCTGGATCCATTCTCTTTCCTCCTAGCGCAGTTGCCACTCTCCACGATTTCGCCCCTGTGTCTCGGTTCCCTCCAAAGAGGCTGAATTCCCCCTAGCGCGGGCTCGGTCCGGCCGCCGGCGCGGGTTAAACCCGGCGCGGCGGCCCCTCTCACCCCTGTCCTTTCTTCTCCCGCCAGTACGACAGCAAGCCCGGGCTGGAGAAAGCCCCCAGAAAGCCCCGACACTACAGCCCAGCAAGGAAGCCTGGTGAGTGCAGCGGCGGGGGCGAGGAGTTAAAACATGGGAGAACGTCCCGCTGCCGCCGCTCCGGTTGTTACCGTAGCGTGTTTCCCTGGCCCTTCTTCCACGTGCTGCTGTTAGCGCTGGTAAACGGGGAATTCCGTGTGTCCGACCCCCCTTCCCAGCAGTTTTCCCTCTTCTCCTTCCTCCCAGTTTCCTGGAGCAGCTGCACAAACACCAGGGCGCGGTGCTGCACCCCGACTACAAGACCTCGTTCCGCTCCTTCGACGATGCCTTGCAGCGGCTCCTGCCCTACCACGTCTACCAGGGGATGCTGCCCTCCGCCCAGGACTACAGGAAGGGTGAGTCCTCCCAGGGGACGGCACAATCCGCGGCTGCTCGAACCTGAGGACAGTGGATTGAGCTTTAAAAAAGTGGGGTTTTAGTACTGAAAAAAAAACGGAGAGACCATCTGTGCCTTCGCTCTAGAAAAACCTAAATTCCCGAGGCAACGTATTGGAAGTTTTCTGACCGGGAACGGTCCAAAGCGACGTTCAAGTCTTGTCGCAGTCTCTGCATGTTCTGAGAAATCGTCAAAACAGGCCTTAGCAGATTCTTAACGACCGCAGCAATTAAAAATTACACCGAACCCCTTTTTTCAGGGTCTCCCCCAGGGGAGTCCACTGGAAAAGTTAATAACAAAGAGCCACCGGCCCCGTACCTGCGTTCGCCTTGTGACGCAACCTTTCTTTTCTCCCCGTCCTCCTCTTCCTCGCAGTGGACGAGGAGTTCGAAGTGGTGTCCACCCAGCTGCTAAAGCGCACCCAAGCGATGCTGAACAAGTACCGCCTGCTGCTCTTAGAGGAGTCTCGGGTGAGTCCTGCCTCCCGCCCGCGGGGCTGCAAACACAGTTATTTCTCCGCCGCGGGCTGCTCGCGTCCACCCGCGGCTTCGCGGTTCACGTTTCGTGGCGTGTCAGCTGCGCGGCGTGGCACCGTGGCGGGCTCCGGGCGCTGTCCTGCCGCGGCGGAGTCGGCGGGGGCTGGATTTTTGCAGCGATGGGGAAGCTTTCCTCTCCCTGCCGTCGGCTCGGTCCGGTCTCGGCAAGCGATGGGGGTTTCCCGGGCCGTGAGTTCGGCAGAAGGCAGCTCTGCGTTCGCTCTTCCTCCCCGTCCCTCTCCTCTCCTCCTCTCCCTCCTCCGTTCTGTTCCTCGTCGCAGAGAGTCAGTCCTTCTGCGGAGATGGTGATGATCGACCGCATGTTTATACAGGAAGAAAAGACCATGTTAGCGCTCGACAAGCAACTGGCGAAGGAGAAACCAGGTGGGAGGCGAATTATTTCTGTTGTTTGTCCACCTTTTGTAACCACATGCTTGGGTTTTGCCGTTTTCCCCCTCTTGGGAGGCTGGGCGTGAGGTCTCCGTACCCCGCGATGCTCAGGGCAGGGCGGCGTCGGCCTCTTCCGCCGGGGTCAGCGGGGATTTGGGGGAAAAGCTGTCGAAAACCAGAGCGAGCGTTGCCTGCTGCCGTCTGTACTCCTCCCTGCCCGCTCCGGCGTTAAAGATCTCGGTGGCCAAAGTCTTATTTAACGCAAAGCGCGCGTGGCGTCCAGGCTCCCGGCAAATCGCTCCCTGTTCCTGGCTGCTCCCGAGGCTCTTCGTTAAAGTTCGGGTTAAGTTACCGCGTCTTCCCCCGGGCGAGGTAACGAGGGACGAGCTCCCTAAGAAGCGGAGGGTCTCGGAGAGAAGAGGGGCTGAGGGGCGATAAGTTTGTGAGAGGGGGGGAAAAATACATCCCGGCACAAGCGGGCAAATGGGCAAAATATATATTTTGCGATAATATGATTATAATAATAATTTATTTATTTAAAAAATAAATAATAAAGGAGTAGCGTGTTGCGCTCGCGCTAACGGCTGAGGTGGTGTTTCCGTTCCAGACGAGTACGTCTCCTCGTCCTCCCGCTCGCAGAGCCTCTCCTCCTCGGCGGCCCCGGCCTCCGTCTCCAGCGCGGCGCCCGCCCCCGAGAGCCCGAAGG